ATACAGAAAAAAAAATCAGGTGATATACAAAAAAACAAAAAACAAACAAAAACAACAACAACAACAACATTTCTTTGTGATCTTTTACTTCCGGAAAACATCCTTTAGAAAAAAACAAAAACATTCGTATTTGTGCAAGAGAGGTATTTGAGTGGGCGAGGCGGCGAGACCAAAGTCGACACTCGGGGTTCGGAAAGAAACAAAGACAAAAACACAAAAAAAAATATTACAAAAAAACAAAAACAATTGTTGCTTTGCAAGTTGTGCAGGAAAATGCAGTTTGCCTTCCCGGGTTTTTCCTTCGCGTTGACTCAGGACGGGATCAACCGTGCAGAGTTTGCAACATTGATTTGAGTTTGATTCTCGTGTCCTTCTTGTCTGTCGTTGCACGATCATAATGATTGGAAATAACAATTATGTCGATAACAGTCTATTTTCTTTTTTTTACACACTTTATCAACACTAATCCTGGTATGACTACAAGATATATATCTATATTCACATGGGAAAATAAATATATTTATATATATATATATATCAATATTTTTCAGTTCTTCTTGTGTTCATCCTGGATCGAAATAAAGTCTTGTTTTTTTTCTCTCTCTCTTTCTCTCACATATTTCTTTCCTTCTTTCTCACAGAAGGAAAAAAAAAAAACTTATCTTGCTTTGTGCTCGTTTCCCCCGCCGGGCTTGGGGGAACCGCCATCAAACATCGACTAAGGAAAATCTACTCAAAAGATCCCACCAAAAGGACACTTAGGCACTGGCACTTCTATCGCCATGATAAAAGTTTCGGAGGATGGGGGGGTGGGGGTGGGAGGGAGGGGGAGAGGCAGGGGGGGGGAGTGGAACGCATATAACACATGAGTTTCTTTGCCCCCCCCCCCCCGTTTTTTCGTGTGTTTTTTTCGTGTTTTTTAATTTATTTTTTTTCTCCTTCCTTTATGTCTCCCGGCGACGCTCCCCCCGCCCCCCGCTGCGCCCTTTCCGATGACTCTTGCTTCTTCAGGTGTTGGGGGGGGGGGTGTTGGAGGAGGAGGAGGAGCTGGAGGAAGAAAGGAAGAAAGGAAGCAAGGGAAAGGAGGAGGAGGAGGAGGAGGAGGAGGAGGAGGAGGATGAGGAGGAGGAGGAAGAGGAGGAAGAGGAAGAAAGGAAGCGAGGAGAAGAAGGAGAACGAAGAGAGGAGGAGAGGAAGACAGGAAGCGAGGGGGGGGAGAAGAAGGAGGAGGAGGAGGAGGAGGAGGAGGAGGAGGAGCTGGAAGGAGAAGACAGGAAGAGAAGAAAAGAGGTAGAGTGGGAGAAAGAGGAAGAAGGGGATTAAAAGTAAGATAGAAGGAGGAAGAGTAAGAAAGGAGGAGAAGGAAGAGGAAGAGGAAGAGTATGGGCAACGGCGGCGGGGGGGAGGGGGGGAGGGGAGACGGAAAGAGGTTATCACAGACGGCCACTTCGGGGAGCCAGACCTGCCGCGGGAGAGAGAGACGGAGGCTGAGAAAGGCGTTGAGGTAAATTTAATCAGATGGTGATAATAATGATGAGTATGATGATGATGATGATGAGTATGATAATGATGATGGTGATGGTGATGAGTATGATGATTATGATAATGATAATGATGAGTATGATTATAATGATGATGATGATGATGATGATGGCGATGATATTGATGATGATGATGGTGATGATGATTATAACAATTATAACAATAATAATATCAATGATATTAATAACAATGGTAATAATATTAATAATAACAATAATAACAGTAATAGTAGTAGTAGTAGTAGTAGTAGTAGTAGTAGTAATAATAATAATAATAATAATAACAATAACAATAACAAGTACAACAATAACAATAATTATACTGATAATAAAAACACTATAATAATAAAGATAAAAACAACAATGATAATATGGGTTTAATCATACAACAAATAACAATACTGAATTAATTTTACCTAGAGCATCTTTCAAGCACAAAACATATATAAAAAAAACAAATAAAAAATAAGAGGGGAGAAACAGAGAAATAAAAAACGAAAAAAAAAAGAATTAAAAACGAAAAAAAAATAATGAATGAAATGAGAAACAGAGAAATTAAAAAGGAAAAAAAAGAATTATAAACGAAAAAAAGATAATGAAAAAAGGAAAAATAAATAATTTAAAACATATATGAATTATAAAACAAAGAAGATACATATATATATAGATATATAATAAAAAAACAACAACTAATGAATAAAAGGAAACTAAAAACAAAAGAAAACAATAAAAAAAAATAAAAGCGAATATTAAAACCAGGAAAGGAAAATAAAATAAAAGAAAAGAAAAGAAAAGGAAGAAAGAAAAAGAAAAGAAAAGAAAGAAAAAAGGAAAAGAAAGGAATGGAAAAGAAAAAAAAGAAAAAAAGAATGAAAGAAAAGAAAAGAAAAGAAAAGAAAAAAAGAAAAGAAAAGAAAAAAGCATATAAAGATAAAATTATAAAATCAAACCAAAATAAATAAATAAATAACTCAGTAAATGAAATTTAATCCCCAACTCAATCCAAAGGGAAATAGATAAATAGATAGACAGATAGATAAATAGATAAATAAATAACAAAGAGAAAATCTAGAAACACCCATACACAAATAATGATAATAATTCTAAAAAACAAAACATAATGAATATGTTAATAAACAAACATTTACCCCCTCCCCCCCCACCCCCAACTCACGCTATACGAGGCTCAGAAACACACACAAAAGATAAAAAATAATAATAATAATAATAATTCTAAAAACCTAAACGTAAAAAAAAACATCACCCTCCTCCCTCCTTTCCCCTCCCACACCCCCACTCCTCCCCCTCCCCCTCCCACCACCCATTCATCCCCCACTTCCCCCTCCCCCCTCCTCCCCCTCTCCCCCGCCCCCCTCTACCCACACACACCTCCTCCCTCATTCCCCCTCCCCTCCCACACCCCCACTTCCCCCTTCCCCCCACCCCATCCATCCCCCAACTCACGCTATATGAGACCCAGAAACACACACACACCTCCTCCCTCTTTCCCCCTCCTACACCCCCACTCCTTCCCCTCCCCCTCCTTCTCCCTCCCCCACACCCCCACTCCTTCCCCTCCCACTTCCCCCTTCCCCTCCCACACACACCCACACACCCTCCCCTCCCCCTCCAACTCCCTCCCCACTCCACCCACCCTCCCCCCCAACTCACGCTATATGAGATCTCCCCTCCACTCTCCCCCCCCCCCAACTCACGCTATATGAGATCGAGCGTGTGCAGGACGTCC